GCTACATTTCGCTGCGCTTCATCGTGGACTTCGCGGACACGCTGGTGGTGTGGGTCCAGGGCCTGGTCCTCCCACCCATCCTGCTGAAGCTGGGCGCCCTCGAGCAGTGCAGCAGCCGCACGGCGCTCTTGCTCTACATCCTCCGCTCCTCCGTCATCCGCCTCGCCTCCCTGGCGGTGCTGGTGTTCACGCACCTCAGCCTCGTCTCCAGCAGAGCAGACGACTGCCGCCCAGACACGCCGTGCTGGGAGACGCGCCTTGCGCAGAACCTGTACGCGCAGGTCGTCTGGTCCTTTGTGGTGAAGTGCCTCTCTGCGTTACTCTGCCTCGCCTATACGATCGCCGTCAAATTGTGCTGCTTCTGCTGTGCGACCTCCCTCCTCCCGGAGTTCGACGTCCCCAACAAAGTGCTCGACATCCTCTTCCTGCAAACCCTCTGCTGGCTGGGCGTCCCGGTGTCCCCCCTCATGCCCGTCCTGGTCCTCCTCTACTTCATCGTCTCCTTCGGGCTGGAGCTCGTGGACGCCCTCGTCATCTCGCGCCCCTCCGCGCATGTATTCCAGGCCTCTAGATCTTCCAGTATGTTCATGGTGTCCATGGCGGTGTCCTGGGCGGCGGCGGCGGCCATGGCGGTGACGGTCCTCGTGTTCATCCCGGCGTCTCCGGGCTGTGGGCCTTTCAGGGGCCTGAGGGTCGCGTGGTCCGCCCTCACGAGCGCCGTCTGCGACCTGAATGGCTCGCTTAGGTAAATCTACGGGTTTTAAGGGGTTGGGGGGGGGGAGGCTGTGTGAAAATCATTTGTAGTTTTTTCTTTTTGTTTGGCTTTGTCTCATCATCAACAACAGCAGCAACTGTATCATTAGTATTGTTAATATTATCAATATTATTATCATTATTATTAACACACACACACACGCACATTTATATTCATATATTCACGCCATCCACAGAGATGTACTATTCGCTCTGGACGACCTCTGGGTGTCTCTGGCGCTGGCGGGGGCGCTGACCTGCTTCGCGACCTACTACCTGCTCGTCCTCAGTTTCCGCAAAAATGTCATCAGGCGCCTTGAAGACCGGCTGAAGGAGGTGGCCATGGACAAGGCCTTTTTCAGGAAGAAACGCGAGGCTTGGTTGGAAAATGGGCGCCGGGAAGAGAAAGGGTTAAAGTCCGTGATCTATTTCAAGAGGAATAAAACCCTCTGAGAATCTTGTATTGTCACTATTATTATCATTATTCGTTTGTAATAATACTTTGGTACTAAAAATATTATTACTACACATCCCTGTAATTTTATACATTATTGGACCTACGATCACAAGGCTAATGAAATGTGATTGCTTGTAGGAAGGAAAGAAACTACAAAACTAAAGACGCTATAAGAACTAGAAGCAGTCAGAGAGCGCATACCTCTGTCAAGGCAATGGATTCACTGATGCAATAAAATATTCACACGAAGAATTACATTAAAGATTATGATAATAATAATTATTATTATTATTATCCGTGTCAAAAAGTTAAAGTCGTCTCTCCCGCAATGCTATGAAGCCTTCAAAGAACTCCTGGATTTGGATTTGGATCTGGATAACCACCAAATCTAATGGCATCTAAATTGGACTAAGTTACACCTCTGGTAAAATAAGTAAATAAAAATCTGTTCATATCTTGCTAACCAACGAACGAATAAACTAACCAGCGCAACCAAAAACTTAACATCCTTGACGGTGGTAACTATAAAAAAATAAACGCATTGCAATGTTGTGTAGTTTTTGATTGATAGAAATATGACTATTGATGATTCTTCATAATGATATGATGTATTATCTTATGAATAAAGTATATGCAAGCTCTTGTGTCACGACCTTCCTTATACATATGGCAATAATTTTAAGTAAATAGAAGCCAAAGAGTTTAATCAAAGGGTTCATTGAGAAGGATATTAGTTTTATTTACGTTCTCTTTAACTATCAGTGAGCTCACTTGATGCAGGTGGAGTCCCATACATGACTTTGAACCTTTAGCCCTACGGCAGACTCACTATGAATAATCGTATACTTTTTTATTTATCTTTATCTATCTATTATTTATTTATTTTTTATTTTATTTATCTTTTATTTATTTATTTTATTTTTTGATTTTTTTTTTTTTTTTAATCAAGTTTACAGGTTCAATGTCGCATTTTCTTGTTATACATCTAATAAATTTTCTATAGAAAGATGCGGTTGCACTTTCTGTTGTTGAATGTTACATTACAAAGAGTTAAAAGGCTAGGTAATATTAAAGTTATTTGAACTGTGAAGGGACGCATACATAAAAATCCCCTCCGATGAAATCCCCGTAATATCGCACTATACTTTCCAAAATCAAAAGGGGATTCAGCAACATTGGGTTAACATCATTGGATTGGTTTGTCCTTTGTACAAATATTAACTTTACTCGATAATTTTCTGTTTTATTCTGACAAGGGAGTCATGCCGTAGATTTTTTTCACTTCATTTGGGGTTCCGTGACTTTAGCACTAATAGCCTCTGACAACCCTTAGGGTCAACAAGGTACACTGCACGCATAAGCAGCATACAGAATACCCATTTCCACACACATATGTAAAAAACGAAGTGAATAATACATACGTACGTTCGCGTTCTTGTAATTGCTTCGCGGCCGGCTTCACGAACGCTCCCAGCTGATTTATGTAAACAAACAAGACGCAAGAGAGTGTGCGGCAATGGTTGGTCCTAGACAAATGATGGCAAATCAGATGAAATTGTTACGAAATTTGTGGGCAAGATCTAGATTCATGAAAGATGTAATGGCTTATCATTCATTCCCTCTTGTAAAAACGGAGAGAATAAAGTTAATAGGAGTCCCTGAAAGATGGGTATCAAGGTAAATGAGACTATTTTTCGTATAATTCCAAACGTAATGCTAGTTTTCTACATTCTATAACTGTAACAATATTGTGACTATATTTGATTGTCAGTGATTCTTAGGGGTTCATTCGGTGATATTTTAGTAAATGCCTTAATCAAATACATAGAATCACAGCAGGCCATCTTGGAGAACAACAATCTTAGAGGCAAGACATTTATGTAACACAATTTCTGCAGTCATTATAATTGCAATAGATATAACCAATTATTTATCTATAATTATTTACATTTTTATAATGTCTTGAAGGGTCATACTTATTAAGCATGACAAATATCCTGTGCATGAAATAGTAATCATAATGTAACTGATAATGCCTTTACTAATTGACTCAATTTTTCTTCTTAGCACAAGTGTAATTATGAAAGAATTGAGTTTAGAAGGAAGCAGAGGATTGAATTTAAAATTGGAACAGACTCCAATTAATGAAGTGTCAAAGAGTCATAGTGATACTGCAAAAGAAAGGATAACATCAATACAGAACACTTTTGCAACTCTGACAATGAAGCTAGAACGTCTCGGCTGTATAAATGCTAAAGATATATTGCGAGCCATAAAAGTCTTTGAGAGCTGTGCTGAAGACATTACTAGTAAAGATTATCAAAAGCTCTTGCAAATGACGCTCAGGATGGTAGAAGAAGAATATCGGTCTTGTTCCAGCCATGTACAAAGAATATGGAAGCTCACAGAGGGTAGAGGTAGGTGTTTATGCTGTGTTTAGATGAGTAGATGGGTGCAGAGGTAAATACAGAATGGTTGGATGAAAAGAAATTAGAATAGGATAGAAAAAAAATCCTTGCTTGTTGTGTAAGTAACTTTATATATATCTGCTTTTTTATATAGTGGTTCATTATTAATAGAAAATAAAACTAAATGCAAAAGGAAAGAAATAAAAAAGTATGTGTATGTATACATGTGCATAAATATACATATATATGTCTATATATATATGTACATATATCTATATCTATCTATCTATCTATCTATCTATCTATCTATCTATCTATCTATCTATCTATCTATCTATCTATCTATCTATCATCTATCATCTATCTATCTATCTATCTCTATATGTATATATTTAATATATATATATATATATATATATATATATATATATATATATGTATATTATATATTATATATAATATATAATATTAATAATATATATATATATTAATATATATATATATATATATATATATATATATATATATATATATATATATATATATATACAGGCACACACACACACACACACACACACACACACACACACACACACACACACACACACACACACACACACACACACACACACACACACACACACACACACACACACACACACACACACACACACACACACACACACACACACACACACACACACACACACATATCTGAAGGAATTGGTAGAAAACCTGCGTAGAAATACAACAATTCAGAGAGAAAATATGGAGAAATCTGACCTGAAATTAAAGAACTAAAGGAGAAGTTAGAAGAAGCTGAAACCAAAATTGGCAGCGATAGTGGAACTGAAGCAAAAAATCTTCAGGAAAAAGTTGAGGAGGTCATCAAAGTCCAAGAAACTGTCAAACAGATGGAAAGTAATTTGTCAAACAGCCAAGCTCAAATAATGGAAGAAGCCAAGAAAATGACAGCTACATATGCAGATGTATCAAAAGTAAAGGAAACCGTGAATGAAATGGAAAAAAAAAAGATATAGAACAAGACATCAAGACCACAAAGGAGGAAATTAAAACACAGCTTGCAGCAACGATTAAGAAGAATGAATTCAAATCCCACCTTGGGCAACATGCAAGAAATATTGCTAATTTGGCTGACGTAAACAAGGACATAGTAATATTGGGACACGAAGAAAAAGTTGTAGAAGATGGAATTGAACGATACAACGAAGACAAGAAATTAATTGTAGATATTCTCAAGGTCATAAATCCCGAATTCGCCGATCAGAATATCATAGCTCACAGGAGGCTAGGATTATTCGAAAAGGGAAAGAAACGGCCTCTAAAAGTAACATTCTTGAATAAGCAAATAGTAACTGATATAATAAAGAAAGCCAAAGTTCTGGCCACCCATGAGGAATACAAAAAAATCTGGATAAGAGAAAACATGACCAAAGATGGCAGAGTAACGCTACAAAAGAAATTGGAAGAAGTAAAAAAACAAAATGAACAAAGGACTGAAGAGGAAAAAAACTTATTTATTTGGAGGGTGAGAGGTCTCCAAGCAAAGCAAATATACTATCGGAACCAAAATGTAGAGGCAGACAAACATTAACCCTGCAACCAAATTGAATACCTAAAGATTATATAGAAATAGTTTACACAAATATTGATGGTCTATCTTTGAAGTTGCTTGAACTAGAGACAATAATTGATATGGATAAACCGGATGTAATATGCATCACTGAAACCAAACTGGACCCCTCCACAGGCGATGTAACATTAGGGCTTAAAGACTATAATATTTGGAGAAAAGATAGGGCAGATGGAAATGGAGGGGGGGTAGCAATATTAACAAAGAAAGGAATTATTATAAAGGAGTTAGAAATTAATCAGGACCCCATAGTGGAAATGAAGGTAATTGAGGTAGAAACAAATGGGGTAAACATAATAATAACCACGGTATACATGCCACCTCAAACATCGGCGTGGTCACTAGAAAATTACCAGAAACTAATTCAAGAGACAATAAAGAGCCTGGAAGAAGTGCTACAACTATCGGAAACCAATTCAACAGAAATTCTTATTACAGGGGACTTTAATAGCAAAATCGACTGGGAAAGTCTCGATCCTAGAGCACAATCAGATTCTTGGAATGCTAAATTACTAGATGTCATAAATGAGCATTGTCTTTTCCAGAATGTAACAGATCATACCAGGATAAGAGGGCTAGATAGGCCGTCTATGCTTGACCTAATATTTACAAAGCATAACGACGATATTAAGTATATCGAATACTGTCCTCCTTTAGGAAAAAGCGACCATGTAGTGATTAAACTAAAATACTGTCTGCTACAGGAAAAACTCATCGTAAGCAAAGAAAGAAAGGAAAAGTACAATTACAAAAGAGGTGATTATAGAAGCCTTAAAGATTTCTTTGATAACATAAAGTGGGAAACACTTCTGGATGATGAGAACCTTGATGTTCAGTATGCAAAATTTTGTGAGATATATAAAAACGGAGTGGAAACATTCATACCCAAATTCAAAACTGAAGCAAGAAATGGCCAAAAATGGTTCAACGACAAATGCAAGAAAATGAGGGGAAAAAAGCATCTCCTTTGGAAAAGATTCAGAAGGCATAGATCTCAGGCAGCATATGAAAGATATAAAGTAGGAAGAAATGAGTATACCCAAACCATGAGAGAGGCAAAATTAGACTTTGAAAAGGACATAATAAACAAATGCGCAAGTCAACCAAAACTCTTCTTTAACCACATAAATAGTAAAACTAAAAGTAGGGATCAAATTAGCGCTATCAAAGACAATAACATTATATATTCTAAGGAGGAAGAAATGTGTGAAATCCTAAATGAGAAATTTCAGTCAGTGTTTGTTCAGGATCCATGCTTTGATATGGCAAATACCTGTACAGACGTAAAGAACATCGAAAATATCACCCTCAAAAAGAATGAAATAAAAGATCTGCTAAAAGGATTAGACAAGACCAAAGTAGAGGGACCAGATGAAATTTCTAACTGGGTTCTTAGGGAATGTGTCGAAGAGCTGTGTACTCCTTTATTGTTAATATTTCAAAATTCACTAAGACAAGGTAAACTACCAAAAAGTTGGAAATTCGCAAATGTTACACCCTTATATATAAGAGCGGCGACAAACAAAACCCACTAAATTATAGACCAGTTTCATTAACTAGTGTAGTGTAGTATGCAAACTGCTAGAAAGAATAATTAGAAAACAAGGGGTTGAAATGCTTGAAAAACACGAAATGATATCAAATAAACAATTTGGTTTTAGAGAAGGAAGGTCGTGTGTAACAAATCTCCTCTGTTTTTATAATAGAGTATCTGAAATATTACAAGAAAGAGACGGCTGGGTGGATTGTGTGTATTTAGACTTTAAGGCTTTTGATAAGGTGTCTCATAGAAGGCTACTATGGAAACTAGAACACCTAGGTGGAGTGAAAGGCAACCTACTCGCATGGATGAAAGACTTTCTTCATGAAAGACAAATGAGCACAGTAATTAGAGGAAAGCATTCTACATGGCGACGAGTAACCAGCGGAGTGCCTCAAGGATCGGTGTTGGCGCCAATTATGTTTACTATTTTCGTCAATGATTTAGAGTCAAGAGGTAGTTATCTGAATATGTTTGCAGATGACGCAAAGATACAAAAGAGGGTAACAGACAACGTCTCATGCCAATGCCTCCAAAGTGACATCGAGAACTTATTCACGTGGAGTTGTACATGGAAAATGGAATTCAATACCAATAAATGCCACATAGTCAGATTTGGAGAAAGTAGAAATCGCCCACTATTCCAATACAAATTAGGGGATGCAGTATTAGACACAGCTGACAGGGAAAAAGATCTTGGGATAATCATAAATAGAAACCTAAATCCAAATGACCATATAAATGAAAAGGTCCACAAAATGTTAGGACTGATTGCCAACATGAAGAGGGCATTCGTGTATGTGCACGAAGATATGGTAAAGAAGATTATTAAAGCAATCATAAGACCAGCTCTTGAGTACGGTGCAGTGGTATGGAGTCCACACTTGAAAAAAGATATTGACAAACTGGAAAGAGTCCAAAGAGCGGCGACAAGATGGGCACCTACCCTAAGAGATCTGAGTTACGAAGACAGACTACAAAAATTAGGACTTATAACATTTGGAAGAAAGAAGGAAAAGTGGGGATATGATTATGCTTTTCAACTGCATTACAGGAAGAGTGAAGATAGATAAGGATGACTTTTTGATCTTGAACACAAGAAGAACGAGAGGACACAACAAAAAGTTAAAAGTAAAAAGAGGTGATAAAGATGTCCAAAAATATAGTTTCCCAAACAGAATTATTGAATTGTGGAACAGTCTCCCCAATCAAGTAGTGTGTGCCAAAACTGTACATCAATTTAAAAAGTTATATGATAATTTAAATTTAGCAGACGTGACCACCTGAGCATAGCTCTTCTCCCGTATCCAAACAACTAGGTAAGAACACACGCATACACGCACACATGCACACACACATACAGATACACATACATATACATATACATATACATATACATATGTACATATATACATATATATATATATATATATATATATACATACATATACATACATATACATACATACATATTCATATACATAAATGCACACACACCCGCACACACACACACACACACACACACACACACACACACACACACACACACACACACACACACACACACACACACACACACACACACACACACACACACACACACACACACACACACACACACACACACACACACACACACACACACACACACACACACACACACACACACACACACACACACACACACACACACACACACACACACACACACACACACACACACACACACACACACACACACACACACACACACACACACACACACACACACACACACACACACACACACACACACACACACACACACACACACAC